AAAAGGTCGCCCAAAAATCTAAATATCCGACCTCAATCACAGACTTCTAAAGGCTCTCAAAGTGCCTTGCCTGTCACAACGATGCTCCACTCGCCCGATGCCGTGGATTCCAATTCAATGTTCAGAGCTTCTGCGCACCCCTCGCACGCGCCACACGTGCCGCATGCCTCCTCTCGCACCACAGACAGTACCTTGGCGTCACGGGCATCAGCACCGCGCTCCAACGGGAGACTAATATTCGGTCTCGGTCCGGCTCCGGGGACCTTCCGTGCGGCGCGCACCCCCGCCGCGGCAAGGACGTCTACGATTGGTGCATGTCCAGTCGTGTTCTGCATCCGGTGTACGTACGTACAGCTCAGCCTGGCATCCGATCGGACATCAGATGTATAGAAGAGGCGCGGTAGAATATAAAAGTGGAACATACCCTGGCCCAAACACGAACTCACCCCCAAGCTGCGAAGCGTCACCGCCCCGCTCCCACACGGGCATCCCAACGCGTAGTGCGTGAGCAACGACCATTGCTAACCCGCTTACTGTGCCGTGTCGTACGTATGACCCTGCCGTATGCTCCGCCGAGAAGCGCGCTTTATGTGCGCTAGGCTGGATGTTGCCCATGCCGAGAGCGTGGTACAGTATCTGCCCTGGCGACGCGTCGACGAAAATCTCGTAGGGGAGGCGAAATATTTCTGCGAGATTATCATTAGATGGATACCGTCTGATAAACGATGGAAAAATGCGCACGACGATAAGAGCGGATAAGTCCGTACGAGCCACAACCGATCACGATCAGGCGTACGCCAGTTCGCGCGAGCGCTGCGTGATCGACATCCCGCATGAGCGACGCGAGGTAGTCCTGACACATAGGGCACCTGCGTGACGTGATGTGATTAACATAATTTACCACAGTCAATAAAACAAAGAAAGCGGTGTACCAAAAATGCCTGATAAAGACCGCCACAGTGCGTTGCGAACGCCATAGCTCTCCGAACTGCACCCGCACGCCGTTCTCGCGCACGACTGGAATGCGCGCGGCTTGCGCGAGCTGCGCGAAGCTCAAAATTCCTGGAAAACCTGGCTCTGAAAGCGAGCGCGGTACGGGGTGATGTGGGGGATGGTGATTGTGTCCAAGCCGCTCTGACGTATGAGAGCTATGCCAACCATGTGATGATGAAGGCGAGGCGTCGCGACGCCGTAATTGAGGGGCAGACATCGTCGACATGTCGTCAAAATGAGAAGAATTTGAAGATGTCGACCGCATGGTGTTTGAGGCATAGCCGTGCACCGTACTTGATGACACGGGTATCCCCTGGACGGAACGCGAAAGTGGAGGTGGAGGTGGACGAGGATAGGCGATCTGTGTTGAGGGCATGGGTGATGTAGTATGCGGAGCTGCCAGGGTGGATGCATGTACAACACGGGGCTGAACTGCACCTGCAGCTAGACTGATGTAGGAAGACGTAGATGGTGTTAGATGAACAACATGCGATGTTGGTTGTGGTGCACCGTCCATCAATGACGTCGGTGCCGTGGGATATCGCTGAACTTGCGGATGTGATAACCCGGGACCATGTGCACGGGGTAGGGGCATGGGTGAAAGCTTTACCATGGGCTCTGGATGTCTGGTAATAGTCGGCGGACTTGGCAGAGGGCGCGACAACGGTAGTGGCGTCGAGGTACTTCGTCGAGCTGTACCCTTGTAGTACGAGCCCCGAGACGCCCGTCGCCTCTTAAGCAAGGGTACAGACTCTAGTTCTATCTTCACCTCGGGTTTGGGAGGACTGTCCTGTTCAAGCTCCGCAGGAGGCTGAGCGCTCCGAACAGCCGGAACGCAGTCCATGTCCCGTTGGTGAGATGTGTGCGTAGCAGTAGGTGCTGAGGCCGGCTGCTCAGCACCGCACCCACCGCCTCCGATCTGTGGACCCATGCGTTGACACCCCTCTGCCTCCTTCGAGTCAGGAGTCCTTGTGGCAAGCGATCTCGTTTTTGTGCTCTCAGACACAGAGATGACGACCGGCGCTTGTGTGGCCCGTATATATGCGACAGGGGGAAGTGATGAAATAGGCGCATCCTCGGCAGCGAGTTTGTCTGCGGCTTCTGTGGCTGCCCTCAGTGTGCTGCGCAGTGACGATGAGGTACTGCTTCTCCGTGTCTGCAGCGCCGCAGATGTGCGTGCCCGCAGCCGGGCAAAACGCCCACTCTCACGCTCTACCGACTCAGGCTCGGATTCGACCGATTGCCCTCGCCTTGGGAATCTGACGTTCAGCTGAGGCAAGACATCTCGGTCTTCCGGCGTGGGAACCCTCTGCAAGTTGGAATTGCTGGGTGGGAGAGAGGTTGCAAGGTGGTTTGATGGAATCGGAGTGGCGTTGTGCGTAGAAGATGTCACGGGTGAAGTGGTGAAGAGTACTGGCTTGGTAGGAAGGAGGTTGTCAGGCACAAAAGGAAATGAAAGAGTGGCCGATGGCGGAAGGGAAACAGGACGGCTACTCCGAATCGAACTGGGAGTCTGCGGGCGAGAAGGAGCAGAGTAGAAGACCAGGTCACGGGACCATGAACCAGTCGAAGAGCCAGATGGGTTCCGTTTTTCGAGTGGCGGCGGCAGGACGGGCGGAGAACTTTCTGCCAGTGAACGTTTCTCCACAACACTAGTTGCCGGCGTATCAACTTGCATGGCATGCATACTCCTGCGTGTCGGCACCTCGGGACACCGTCAAGCAAAGTTGCGGACACGAACGAACTGCTGCATGAGCGTGGTCGTGGAGAGGTCTGATTCGCCTTCCGTTCCCAATGAGTAGACGCCCACGACGAGGTCGAAGAAGACGTAATTACACTCGCGCGGCTACCATACGGAGTCAGTGAGTGCCTCCTCTCCGCGTTAGACTGGGACTCTGGTCCAGGGCGCGATTCCAGGAAAGAAAATGTGCCCGATCGCAAAGCAAACACCGATTGTGAGCGACGCCGCGCCTCACGACGTTGTGTCTGTCTCACGCCTGGACGTAGTGTGGAGGAAGCCGCCACCGGAAAGTCAGTTCTGAGGAATATTCGTGCAGACCCGGGCCCAAGGACGTTCCTTTACGCAACTGAGACATGTGCCCCTGCCAGCCGCTTTCCCCATCAAATAAGGACCCGAGTGCAGCTGACTTCTCGCGCTGGTGCGTGATGAAGGTAGCGAGGTCGAGCACCCTGGAAGGCCCAGAGGTTGAGTCCGGAATCGCAACCGGCGATTCGTATGGTGAATTAGTGAGTGTCGCGGTGCGATCTCGGAGGACGGAAAGCGGGGCAAATGGGTCACTTGGGTCTGGCTCGGGGTAACGTAGAGAGTATGGGAATGTCGGCGGTGGCCTACGCTTGACACGGTGCGTATCAGCGTCTGGTACGGATCAGAAGACATAATACCCAAGGAGCAAAAATATCGTTAGCAATACGCGTGAGGTGGTACCTTAGCCCGAGACGGAGGGATTGGGGGGAAGGTAGTGGAGCTGCATTACATTCATGGGGGCTTGAGCTGGTTGAAGTAAGTTGTAGAATGAGGGAGAAACGTTGATATGGTGTGAGACGGCCACGTTGCCGCGGCGTGGTAAGTAGAGTAAGGCCCTCGGTGAATCACCCTTCTCATCGCGTTTGGGTGTTCGAATCCCGCGGCAAATCCCGCGAAATAAAGGGATAGAATATCACATCTCCATGCGCTTCGAGTTGATAATGTGCACCTTTATCGTTCCCCATAGCGCTATGAATGGCATGGATACAAATTCTGACCCGAGTTGTGGTACCTACCAGGCAAATCGTTTGTGTTGGGCGCTTGTAGTCGTTACCATCACGGAGAGGGACAAGTCTAACAATGGAAAAGGAGCGCCCATAGAGGTGGGAGCTATACGACGTGTGAATATTCCAGAAAAACTAGAGTAGAGACCACAGCTCCAGCTGGAGTTATCCACTCTTGGAGAGACAGTTCAGGAAATGGATCGTTGGAGCTTCGACTTTGGGAATCGGAACGATGACAAGGGGTTTCTAAGGTGTGTATGCTCACACGTCGAACACGGCACCTTGCCATGGTTGGATCTCGACTTGCAAGAAAAGGAATTGACGGGAAATGGCTAGTTTTCATCTCCGCGTCCGCCATATCTCCGGAAGGATGGGCCGAAGGCTTGTCCGTTCCTCGGTACTACGCCAGGGATTTCAACCTAGATATGCCGCCACCGCAACCTCTGGACTTTAGTATCCAGAGAGATTCCAGGCATTCCACAGTAGAAGCAGGTTCCGAAGGGTTGTCGAGTAAAGAGCAGCCAAGGAAGAGATAAAGAAACCCGAGAATATCGGAGGGAATCGGGTCAGAGACGAAGAAAGGCCATCAGAAACATGCGGTAGCGGAGCAGAGGGCGCGGACACTGGAGGAACCACTCGGAAATGAGCACGTGACTGTGATGCTTCAACATTGCCCAGCGAGACCATAGACCTCCATAACATAACTTGGAATGCGACTAGTTGAAGAAACGGAAGAAGCCCTGGCTTGAGTCAACTGTAGTCGTCGAGCTTTTGCAAGTGCAGTGGGGCACATGTGAGACTAGTGAGGTTCAGAAACAGACGGAAGACCAAGCGATGGCCATCTCCAAGGGCCATTGGGGTTAGTAAATACATCGATGGATCCTTCTAGAATGACGAGCGCTAGACAGAGGCATGTAGGTACACTTCCGTGACTTCCCAGAAGACGGGTACTGAGAACAAACTGACTTACAACTGCCTCAAGTGATTTCCGGCCATAGTGTTTCGCTCCACTCGTTCCATGCGCGTGAATGACACAGCTCATTGCAACCAACGGCGTTTCTGTTTCAAATTGCATGCTCTTGGTTCTTGATTTGCACGGAGTAAGGCGTGGTACTGGACCGTGTTGAACCCACGATGTAACCATGAGCATGAAACAGTCACGGTGGCGTGTTCTTCAGACATAGCACGGAAGCCAGGCAAATCGAAATGACATAATTATAAACAATAATAAACTGTGTGCCGGGGTAGCTCAGCTGGGAGAGCAACAGACTGAAGATCCGAGCATTCTGGAGGTCCCGTGTTCAATCCACGGTCCTGGCATTTTTTTTCTACTTCAAGACATGGCCTACTCCAACGACCTGCCCCCGCTGGTTATTCCACGAGATGCGAAAAACAAACGCATGGTGGTGTGGGAGCACCTTTGTGTATTGATTGTCCGTCCGTCATGTAAGGCGAGTTCACAGTGCGATTTTCGTATGACTGGGATTCTTGTCTTGTTTTCTATCCATAATTCGGAATGAAAACTGTTTTCAGGTTTGATCTCTCCATAGAAACCGATTTCGGTGTGGGCCAACTTGAAGAGGCAGATATTGAGCTCCATTTGAAGCAAGTAAGACGGCGGAAGCCTGAGTGGTGAAGCATTGCCGAGCAAGTGATTGTCACAAATAACTAGGTAACTGGTAGCACCAGGAGTATTCCAGGGCACCTGTACCCGCGCCTGGTAAACCTTACACAAAGGTACAGATTTTCACAGGTTGGGATATGGGAATAGGTACTGAAACGGACGGGTACAGCGTCTATTGACACTTAAACTACAAACAAGTTCAACTATGATAAACTTCGCTACAATATACTGTATACGTAGAGGTGCCAGAGGGTTACGAGGGGCAGGGGTAAGGAACTATGATGCGATAAGCATGTACCTGAACAAATGGCTACAGTAATCGATGGCGTTGAGGGACTCGTTACTAAGTTACCGTGACATGCATCCCATTGGCGTTCACATATAGTAATCGCATTGAAGTTCATGGCTGAAGTAAAGTTCTCTGCCAGTTACTTTGAAATGGCTTGAATGACCGAGGCCATAAAGGGACGGCTAGATATCTGCCGCTGCCCGGACCTGGACCTGAGCTGATATTTCACGAATGAGAGCAGGGGAGAAAAGCGCCACTGGTTCGTATGAGGAACATCATGCTGTTATTGTGTGAACCAACTTGATATATTGGTGTGGTGCCCCTGGGACTGGGACTTGGATGAAAGCATAGCGGAAAGAGCAATCTGTTGGGTTGTGCGTTTTTCAAATTTCAAAGTCCGTTGGACCGAACTTTTTCGAATTCTAGATGCAGTAAAACACAAATGAAGTCGCAAACGAAAACGTCGTCCGCAAACATGACGCCATCTCTCTTCTCCATTCTATCCGGCTCTTGAGACTCTCGAGGCAAGATGCCGATGTCGAGACGGCCATTGCCGAATTCTTTGGTGCGTATGACAACTTTCTAATATTTACTCATTCCGAGTCCCTCCTCTCCCGCTATATTTCTCCTTCTCATTGGCAATTTGGCACTCGCCAATTGGTGCGACATTGTGTGCCTGAGGAGCATTTTGCCCGCAATGACCTTGATGCTTGATGTCTGCCTTCCTTTTCTCGCTCGTCTACTAGTAGTAAACGTACTCGATGCCACAAGTCCAGATCCATGACTATGATAAAGTACTCGAGCGCCTGCTCTGGGCGCTGTATCGCTTACGTACATAACTCCTTTGGCATTTGTTGACGAGATCCACGTTTCAGAGGAACGTACAGGGATCCTCGGCTTTCATTTCTTTAACGCACGCTTCTCTCCCTCCGACCGCCTCCCGCCCACCAACCGAAGGAAAAGAACAAAAGGTCGTACCAAACAGAGTGACATGGCTCCATTACCGATTCCACCAGTTGCAGACCTTGGCTGGTCCCAAGTCGGCTTCGCCTTCGCCTTCATTGCTTTTAATTCGATAATCTCGCAAGTGCTTCAGCTTGGCGTCAGCGCTTCTATCATGTTCGCTGCCGTGCGCTGTGTCGTGCAGCTCACTCTTATGGCGACAATCCTACAGCACGTGTTTGCAGCCGATAGTTTTTGGGCAGTTGGGGGATAGTATGTAAGTACGTTGTTGTTATGCTTAGCAGCGGTAGCTTGACTTTAAAGTTTGATTCCCCAAGTTTTGCTGAACTTTCTTGGCACGTTCGAAATCGGTGCGTTCGTTATCTCATCACTGTCCTCTTTTTCTGGCTAATTCGCAGGCTTGGGACCCTCGCAAATTTAGTCGTGATTCAGGCCAGGAGAAGATGTGATAAGATGGTACGCGTGTCTTGCCCCTATTCATAATGCTCCACCCGAGAGAAAATCAATTATTCTCAAGTTTGTTGGCGTGCTAATCGCGATGTTGGCCTCGACGATCCCGGTGTCTATCCTAGGAGTACAATTCGCGATGCGCGTCTACCCGTTTTGGTCACCGGGAAAATTCAGTAAATCCTTTCCCTTTCCCGGATCCCTTCTCTTTCCGGAGTTTATTCGCAGAGAAATTGACATGCTCAACTCATAGTCCCTATCGTTGGTATGCTGTGCGGACACACGATAGCAGGAGTCTCGGTGGCCCTGAGCTTTATTCTAAGGGAACTCAAGTGAGACGTCTTAATCATTTAAATGTGTTGTTGACTCCACAGAATCCTGTAGCGAAAACCAAGACAAGACGGAAACACTGCTTGCGTTTGGTGCATCGCGTTTCGAGGCTTGCCGTCCGATCGCGATCGAATCTTTGCGTTTCGCCCTGACGCCAACCATCAACAATATGAGGTAAACACCTATCACCCACTCCCGCTCCCAAGTCGCTTATTGCTTTTTCACTTAAAATTGCAGCGTGATAGGCATTATCTCCATGCCGGGTATCATGACGGGTGCGATCCTTGGCGGTGCCGACGTCACTCAAGCAGCACGACTGCAGATGATAATCATATTCATGGTATCGTCGTCGACCGTGCTGGCTTGCATCATGGTGACGCTCTTTACGCTGTGCGTGTGCGTGGACTCGGAACACCGTATCCGCAGCGATCGCATTCATACGCGTCCTCCTACGTTCCACGGCGCTAGCGGCTACCACGCCGTGATCGATTCCGCGCGGTGGGCGTGGATGCTATTTATGGGCTCCGTGAGGCAATTGTCATTATGCCTTACCCCTCGAGGGCGCCCTCAACGGTTCAGTCGTGCGTCACCGGGTAATTTAGAACTCGGTGATTTGGAAGTCGGGTTACTTGCCTCGAGTTCAAGTTCAAGTTAGACAGCATCGTAACATGACAGGGATCTGATGAGATAGAGAATCTAATTGCACCTATGACCTATGTCTGCTAAAAACTACAGTAGGCCGTCGTCGTGGCACTGACGGCAGGCATGACAGAGCGCCTTTTTTTTTTTACCTTCACTACACTGTTCATTTTCCATAAAAAATGCTCATAATATGCTAACATGTGTCACTAGGTACTGTGTATTAATTTATTTGACCATTGAGTCTTGCATTGAGTAAAGAATGTGTGAGTTATTTGGGAGCAATAGCTCTCGTCGTCACCGCACATTGGATCGAAAGTCCGAAGTGTATGGATGGGCTGCGTGAGTGGTTATGAAATCAGAACAGAAACGCCCACCGTGAACAATTTTAGTATGTGCAGTACATTTTTAACAAATCTATACGGTTGTTCAACAGGTGCTACTGTACTTCGAGTCCTTTCTTCGGTGGCCGCGCACCAAAGATTCCCGTCCCAACGCGTACGACATCCGCACCTGCCCTCAGCGCCATCTCAAAATCATGCGACATACCCATGCTCAACAACAATCTCCTCCCACGCATACGCATATGCGTCTTCTCTCCTCTCCCTCCCCCTCTCCACCCTGACTCTGACTTGAATCATCCAAACCCGCATCCTCGTCCTCGCCCCAAACACCCTCACCCGCATCATCAGCATCAGCATCATCATCCCGGGGAGGCGGCGGAGGCGGCGGCAAAACGCGCACAAGCCGATCCCGCGCTTCCCTCAACGCTACAAAATCTTCTTCGCCACCGTCGGGTTTACCGATCGTCATGAGGCCAACGAGACGCAGACGCGGACATGACCGAATGATATGCGTCGCCAGTTGCGTCAACTTCTCCTCTGCTCCTCCTGCTCCTCCCTCACCCGCGTCCTCGCCCATACCGCGTTCTGTCGCTCCATCGGCAGCGGAGGCGGAGGCGGCGGTGGGTGATGATATTGGAGCTATGTCGATCCCACCCTTCGTCTGTTCTCCCGACGTGTTGAGCTGGATGAACACGCGTAGAGGTCCATGCTCAACCGCTCGATAACGATTAAGCGCATCGGCAGATCTAGTGCTGGCAACCGTTTGCACCGCATATAAGTTTTCTATACCTAGCCTCCACCCAGCATCAATAATAATAAAAGGGGGGAAGGGGAGGGAGGGAGGGAGATACAGTACCTGCAAGTACTTTCGCCTTGTTGGACTGTACTGTACCGATAAAATGCCATCGCACGTCGCGTGGTAGCGCAGAGCCTTCTCTACGAGCTGCTGTGCATAGTTCTCTCCAAAATCCCTTTGTCCGGCGTCGTAACATGCACGTAGGTCCTCCGCGGGTTTGAATTTGGATACGGCTACGAGAGTTGGTAGGCGTTGTAGTGGCGAGTTGGATGCACTGGCGACAGAGATACGAGCACGGATCTCACTGAGGGCTGTGTACAGCTCCGCGGTGCGTTCTGGTGAGGGTAGGGATGCAAAAGGCGGCGATGCGGAGGTGCTCATCGTTCTCGCAGGGTGCTGAGCGTAGTATAGGTGGTGGATGGCACGGAGCATCTCATCCGAGTCTCCGGGGCAATTCCCGGAATCGTAAGCGAGAGTATTATTATTAACAGTTATCGGGCTCTGGGTGCATAATCACAAATGCTGTACAGTCAATAACACAGAGTACATAAATAAGTAGACAGTACAACAATCAGCGTATACAACATCGTACATAGCGGTCGGGGGGATAGGCAGAGGGATCAGTGTACGACTGCGGGTGAGGGATTCGTGATTATGTGCGACGACTATGCAAGTAAGGAGTACAAGTTGGGGGTAGCGGTGGGTGTATTTTGTACGGGAGGAGGGGATGCTGGTGGGAAACTAAAACGCATGGTACAAATATCGGGGACGGGGGCTGAGACTAAAGAAACAGACTGTGAAACATAAGCAGAAGGGGAGAGGGGGAGGAGTAAGGTGACACCGTGGATACGTTTTGATGGGGCGCTTCATACATGCAGGTATTTCTCG